TTTGAAAAAGAAATTTCATCAGATTCCAAACGCAAGCCTTACAAATCTAAGTGAAATTAGTGATAAATAAGCTCGGACACAAAAAGTCGGATGTTGCGTGAATAAATCTCTTGGTCCAATACCGTGGGTTGATTTTAATGATTAATTAAGTCCCGTGGTGACCCTTGCATCTATCTAGCTGACTTGGGTTGGCGTGGTTGACTTATCTGTTTTCTTTTAATTATTGGGCAGCAATCTGTGTTGCCAGCTTGTTGTATGACCGCTGCCTGAGAATATAACGTGAGAATTGTAATGGTAGATCTACTCTCCACAATCCAAGTATTCAATCTGTGGCTGCTGAGCATGAGTGTTCAGTTGTAATTTTAGTTATTTTGTTGCTGGACAATTTCCTTGCATTAAACGCTAGATCATTTCTTAATGTATCTGCGCAACATCCATTTGAAAGACATCTTGCATTTTCATAACTGTTGTGTTTTGTTTTATTCACTTGTGGGATGTGGCGTTGCTGGTTGGACCAGTATTTATTGCCGGTCACTCGTTGTCCTTGAGATGGTGGTGTTGAGCTGCCTTCTTGAACAGCTGCAGTCTACATGCTGTAGGTATACCCGCAATACCACTAGGGAGGGAATTCCAGGATTTTTGACCCAGCGACCCTGAAGGAACGGTAATATATTTCCAAGTCAGGATGCTGAGTGGCTTGGAGGGGAACTTGCAGGTGGTGATGTTCCCATGTATCTGCTGTCCTTGTCCTTCTAGATGGAAATAGACATGGGTTTGGAAGGTACTGTCTAAGGATCTTTGGCAAATTTCTGCAGTATTCCTAGTACAAACTGTTTCTACCGAGTGTTGGAGTTGGAGGAGTGGATACTTGCGGATGTGATGCCAGTCAAGTAGGCTGCTTTGTCCTGGATCACGTCAAGCTTCTTGAGTGTTGTTGGAACTGCACTCTTCCAGGCAAATGGTGAGCATTTCATCACACTCCTGACTTGTGTCTTGTGGATGGCAGGAAGGCTTTGTAAGTCAGGAAGTGAGTTGCACACTGTGGTATTCCTAGCGTATGACCTATGTTTTCCAGAAGGGGTCACTGGCTAGCAATGTTAGCTCATTTTGCCCTTCTCACTCAGCTGTCCTACTCCAAAAGTGCCTCTGCAGATGTCAAAGGTAAAGTTGACTTGCAGTGAATCAAACCTTTGGGTATGTGTCGCTAACAGCTTTGCTCTTGGCACCATTCAGCCACCCACCTTTAACTGCCTGACTTGTCTGAATGAAATTGGCGAAATTATCATTCCACCAGGTCCAGCAACAGCCTTCAGTGGTATTAGCCAAATAGTGTCTTGTCACTGATATTTAATACTCAGGACATTTTCTTTGATTGGTACTTCATTCAAAGTAAACACAAATAAAAGTATCTATTACTGTGGTTTGTCTTTTGCACCAACTGTTACTTTTTTTGAAAATCTGCATTAATGTCTGCTGGCATGTTAATTTGTCCCTTGTTTCAGCAAGCAGGGATACAAGGAGGAATTCAGTTACTTGTTGGATCCTAATCTGCACAACATATAATCCAAGTACACATTGTATTATGACTATAGGAAATTCTACCACGTCCATGCCCAGATAAGGCCTGGTATTTTTTCATTTTTATTCACAGATAGCATCACTGTTGGGGCGTGGGGTGGCACATTAATGATTGGAGCGGTGGAGGAAAAAACAAACAATGGAGCAGGATCTAGTGTGATGAGTGGGAAATGAGATAAAAATACATGCTCATCAGGAGAGGAGACTAAGAGGTAGTTTAGTGTTGACAGTTTCAATCACTCATCTAAAAGGAAGGGCAGAATAAGCAGATGACAATTTATAGAAAATATTCTCAAATGCATTCAGAATGATGGGAGAGCAGCTGGTAGCTGTGTAGAACTATTTTAAGCAACTAGTAATAATCAATGTTGATCAGTATTTCTCTTAGCCTGAGAATTTGGCTTGACTTTGATCTATATATTGCTATTGCAGTTCAAGTCCATAATTATTTACGAACACTGTCCCATGAAGCCGATTATTACAAGTCAAACAAAGCAGCCAAACAATTAACTGTCAACTGTGAATATGTATTTTATATTGTTTTAAGAGACAGATTGTACTTATTAGCATTGTTTTACATTTTCCTCATCCTGGTATTTACAAGATGCTGCATTGACAACATTGTTATTTTTCAGGGTAGTAATATGTTTGTTCATAAGTTTATTGCTCCAATCTCCTTCAGCCCTCCACCCCTTTGAGATTCCTATACTCCTCAATTCTAGTCTCTTACACATATTCAGTTTCTTTCTAGTGTGATTGGCGGCTGTGATTTCAGCTTTGGTATTCCCTCATGAAACTACTCCATCTGTCTCTCTCAGAGATAGTAAGAAGTGCAGATGCTGGAGCCAGAGATAACACAGCGTGGAGCTACAGAAACACAGCAGGCCAGGCAGCATCAGAGGAGCAGGCAAGTTGATATTTCGAGTCGGGACCCTTCTTCAGAAATTTCTGAACCTGACCTGAAACGTCAACTTTCCTGCTTCTCTGATGCTACCTGGCCTGCTGTGTTCCTCCAGCTCCACACTGGTCCATCTCCCTCTCCCTCTCTCTCTCTCTCTCTCTCTCTCTCTCTCTCTCTCTCTCTCTCTCCTCCTTTTAAAACATTTCTTAAAACTTACCTCTTTGCCATCTGCTCTGAAATCATCTGTGTAACTTGGTATCAAATTTTGTTCTGTTGTGTTACAGAGATGCATTATGGGACATTTTATTCCATTAAAAATTGTATAGGAAAGCACCAAAATAAGGTTATCGAAAACGGCGAAAGAACTGTGAATGCTGTAAATCAGAAACAAAAACAGAAGTTGCTGGAAAAGTTCAGCAGGTCTGGCAGCATCCGTGGAGAGAAATCAGAGTTATCGTTTTGGGTTCAGTGACCCTTCCTCAGAACTGAGGAAGGGTCATTCGGCCCGAAACATTAACTCTGATTTATCTCCACAGATGCTGCGAGACCTGCTGAACTTTTCCAGCAACCTCTGTTTTTGTTATAGAAAGCACATAGTGGTTAGATTTCTTCCCCACTTGGTGTGTCTCTCAACTTGTTATTGTGGTAAACAAAACTGTGTAGTGTAGCACATAATCTATTTTAACTGGCATTTGTTCTTGGGATATGGAAGTACTGGCAAAGGCGGTCTATAACTTGCATATCCAGCGCCAGCCTAAGAACAGTGTTAAAGTGCACAGGCAAGCCATTCAGCCCTTCAGTGCCTTTAAAGGGGTGACTAATGAGGTAGTAGATACATTATGTTAATTTTCCAAAATTCATTAAAATTTGGAAAGGTTACTTTAGACTGGGAAACGGTGAAGATAACTCCTCCATTCAGGAAGCGATGGCAACCCAAAGCAGGAAGCCAGGGCAATTGGCTTGATGTTTGTCATGGATAATATGTTAGAATCGATAACTAAGAAGGTTATAGCTGGGCATTTAAAAAAATTTAAGATAATTGAGAAGAGCAAGCATGTTTTTGTGAAAGTGGAATCAGGCTTAACCAACTTATTGGAGTTCTTTTGAAGGAGTAGCATGCATTCATATTCCACTGTCTGCCATGGTGGGATTTAATCCCATGTCCTCTCAAAATTCCTAGGTCTCTGGATTTACAGAGGTAATCCACTGACAATACCACTAGGCTGTTGCCTCCTGTGATATTCACAAAGGTTAAGGAAATTCAGCATGTCCATAACGACTCTTAACAATTTTTATAGATGCACCATTGAAAGCATCCTATCCGGATACACTACAGCTTGGTAGAGCAACTGTTCTGCCCAAAACCGCAGGAAATTACAGAGAATTGTAAACATGGCCCAGTTCATCACGAAAACCAGTCTTCCTTCCACTTTCTCCATCAGCACTTCCCACGGCTTCAGGAAAGCAGCCAGCATAATCAAAGACCCCAACCACCCTAGTTATACCATCTTCCAAGGTTCTACCTTCTTCGATCAGGCAGAAGATACAAAGGTTTGAAAACACATACCAATAGTTTTAAGAACAGCTTCTTCCCCACCGTTATCTGACTTAGGAATGGAGCTCTCATATATTAGAGTTGATCTTTCTCTGCATCTTCATAGTAGCTGTAACACTACATTCTGATTCTGATTAAGTGCCTGTAAATATAAAGTTAATTACTGCCTTATCTTTCTCTTGGTCCCTTTATTTGAGAATATATACCATTTTATTGGAGACAATTCAGCGAAGATTGATCCCAAGTATGGAGGGATTGCTTGTGAGTACAGCCTAAATAGATTAGGAGTCTACTTGGAGTTCAGAAGAATGAGAGGTGATCTCATTGAAACGTACAGGACTCTTAAAGGGCTTGACAGGGTAAATGCTGAGATGATGTTTCTCCTCATGGGAGAGTCTAGGACCAGAGGGCATAGCCTCAGAATAAAGGGACACCAATTTAAAACTGAGGTGAGAAGGAATTTTTTCCCTTGGAGGATTGAGAGTCTTTTGAGCTCCTTGCCACAGAGAGCTGTGGGGGCAGGGTCCTAGTGTATATTTAAGACTGAGATAGATTCTTGATCAGTCAGGGAATCGAGGGTTCCAGAGAAAATGCAGGAAAGTGTTCATGAGGTATGTTGGATCAGACATGACCCCATTGAATGGTGGAGGTTTGAGGGGCTATTCCTATTTTTTGTGGTCTTATGAATCTGTAACCCCTGAATATAGACATGTGCTCAGCTGCAAGTTTCAGGTGCTCAGCTTTTTGTGTATTTTATGTATTGTAAACATCTACACAGCATTTGAAAAAGTGATAGCTTCCTCTGCTGAGTACATATGATGTGGAGGTGCCGGTCTTGGACTGGGATGGACAAAATCAGAAGTCACACGACACCAGGTTATAGTCAACAGGTTTATTTGGAATAACCTGGTGTCGTGTGACGTCTGACTTTGCTGATTACATACTTAGCATCTCAATTGCTTCCAGGTCGAGCACCTGAAACAGGAGACCTGTGTTTAGACAAAGCCGGGGTCCAGATTCATCCAGAAACTGGGAAGATCATTGTTGGTGCCAATGAAGAAACTTCTGCTTCCCACATCTATGCAATTGGAGATCTTGCAGAGGTAAGGCATGGTCCAGCTGTTACTTTTGATGAAATACAATTATCAGTTTCATTTGTTATAGTTGTTATGAAATGTAATGGAATAGGAAAGGGTAAATCGGTTGCAGGATTTGTGTACTTTTGCTGCTTTGTAATTGCATTGGTTTTAATGTTGTGCTGCAGCACTTATACTTGCTTATCACAGTTGAGGCTGACCAGTGTTTACATTTTAGCACCTTTAAAAATCCTGTGCATAAATTATTCAGTAGCTGACAGTATTTCCCTTGTATCCTGAAGGCATGCCTTTTGGATGATACAGTCTGCCTCAACTATCCAAAGCAAAAAGCTGTAGGTACGTGGCCAAATGCAAAAATTAAAACACAGAAGGATATTTTTGTTGTCTCAGAGGGAGATGTAGTCAACTTTTGACCAAGTTAAAGGCAGAAAAGCAGCTGCCATCAATGGGTTAAATGGATACAGTCACTATAATTATACACGTTAAGAGTGGCAAAACATCAACTAATATTTTAGTGCAATCTTATGCACTCTTGCTTATGATAATTTGGAATTTCATAACTGTGCAGTCAGTAACAAAATGGAACACAAGTAAATAATTTTATTATTCAAGAGGAGTTGAGCTAATTTTACTTGTTTGTTTAATAGGGTCGACCAGAACTCACGCCAACAGCTATCAAAGCTGGCAAGTTACTGGCACATCGACTTTTTGGCAACTCTACTGAATTGATGGACTATGACAATGTGAGTAAATCTTACGGATAAATTCTGTAGCAGGTGAATTAAAAAAGGTTGACTCTCAGTCATTGTATTGAAGAAATGTTTTAATTGTGTGTGCATGTTTAATAGCATATTTACACAAGATACAATTATAAATAGATTTGTAATTTAATGGAATGGCAGAAAGTTTCTGTAGTTGGAGCTGTTCCCTTTTTGGCAGATGAAACATGTGCCGTACAAAGAGTTGATCCTCACTTCCTGGTTCAACTATGGAATTACCCATTATCAGGGTTTCAGCCAGCTGGCACATGTTTCATTGGAAAGGAACATAAAGTTTCTATAGTATCTTTGGACTCTGAAGTGATTTACAATTTGTGAACATTTTTGAAGTGCAGTCACCACTATTTTATACAAAACTATTTGCACACAGACTGCCCTGAATTAAAAGACCATGTAAGCTTTTTTGTGATTGTTCTAAGGATAACCATTGCCCAGGGTACTTAAGGTGAGCTCACCATGCTCCTCTTCAAAATAGTGCCATTGGATCGTCTACACCCACCTGACCAAAATATTTGGGTGATTTGGGTGATGAGGTTGAAAACCTAATGTATAGCAAGAACATAATTAGTAACATGATTAGTAACAGGATCAAAGGTTACAGGGAGAAGGCAGGAGAATGGGGCTGAGAAACATATCAGCCACGATCGAATGACAGAGCAGACCTGATTGGTCAAATGGCCTAATTCTGCTCCGTTTTTTAAATAAGAACACAATAGGTAGGAGTAGTAGTAGGCCATTTTGTCCCTCAACCTGCCCCACCCCCACTCAATAGGATCATGGCTGATTTGTCCCAAGCCTCAACTCCTGTGTCATGCTAGCTCCTCATAGTCAACTTCCTGATTTCAAAAATCTATTTCCTCTTTTTAAATGCTTTCAGTGATCTAGCCTCCGCAACTTCCTTGGTTGGAGAATTCCAATGTTCCCTCATTTTGTCTGCTATGTCCTTTAGTTTGAGATTCCCTTACAAATGGAAACATATCTCAACATCTACCCTGTCAGGCCCCCTCAGAATCCTGTATGTTTCAATAAGGTCACCCCTCATTCTTCTAAACTCCGGTGAATAAAGCCCAAACCTGTTTAGCTATTATTGATAAGTCAACGCCTTCAGCCCAAGAATCAGCCTAGTGAATATCTTCTGAACTCCCTCCAGTGCCAGACAAAACTGGCAGCTCAATGTTCTGGATTTTGGATGCTATAGGAAGGATAGTAAAGGAGGGGGAATGGTGTTTTTGGTTAAAGAATACATTACTGCTGTAACTAAAGAAGATATTTCTGAAAAATTGTCCAGTGAAAATAAAGGGGTAGAAATAGAAATTAGAAATAAGAAAGGAAAGATCACCTTGATGGGATTGTACTACAGGACCCCCAATGGTAAGATGGAAATTGAGAAACAAATATGTAGGGACATCTCAGATATATGTAAGCATAATAAGGTTGTAACAATGGGGGAATTTTAATTTTCCTAATATTGACTGGGACTACCATAGTGTTAAAGGTTTGGATGATGAAGAATTTTTCAAATGTGTTCAAGAATTTTTCTTTTTATTGATATGTGGATGCTACTGCTAGAGAAGGAGCAAACCTAGACTTAGAGCAATAAGACAAGGCAGATGACTGAACTAAAAGTGGGCGAACACTTTGGGAGTGGCGATCAGAATTCTATTAGTTTCAAAATGGTTACGGAAAAGGATAAGCCTTCCATAAACGTTAAAGCTTTTAATTGGAGTAAGGCAAATTTTAATAGTATGAGCTAAGCATTTTCAAAAGTTGATTGGAGTAGACTGTTCACACGTAAAAGAATGACTGACAAGTAGGAGGCATTCAAGAGTGTGATGATGAGAGTTCAGAGGCATTATGTTCCTGTTAGAGTGAAGAGTAAGGCTGGTAAGATTAAGGAACAATGGATACATAAAGATATTGAGGTTCTAGTCCCGAATAAAAGAGAATCTTATTTTAGATATAGATAACTTGGTTCAATTGAATCTCTTAATCAATGTAAAGAGTATATGGCATTCTTAAGAAAGAAATCAGGAAGGCAAAGGGGGGATATGAGATAGCATTGGCAGATAAGGTTAAGGATAATGCAAAGAGATTCTACAAATACATTAAGAGCAACAGGGTAACTACAGAGAGGGTTGGGCCTCTTAAAGACCAAGGACGTCGTCATTGTGTTGAACCCCAGGAGATGGGAGAGATACTAAACAAATACTTCGCATCAGTTTTTACTGTGAAGAAAGAAATGGATTCTAGAGAATATAGAGAAATAAACTTTAATGTTTCAAAAATAGTTCACATTACAAAAGAAGAGGTTTGGTAGGTCTTCGAGAATATAAAGGTGGATAAGTCTCCGGGACCTGATCTAATGTATCCCAGAATGTTGTGGGAAGTAAGGGAGGAAATTACGAGACCCCTTGCAGAAATATTTGCATCATCTATAACTACAGGTGAGGTGCCTGATGCCTGGATGGTGGCTAATGTTGTACATTTATTTAAGAAAGGTTTAAGGAGAAACTGGGGAACTATAGAACTGAGAGTCTGACTTCGGTTGTGGGTGAATTTTTGGAGGTGATTATAAAAGATAGAATTTATCGACATTTATAGAGGCAAAAATTTGATTAGGGATTGTCAGCATGATTTTGTGCGAGAGAAATTGTGTCTCACAAACTTGATTGAGTTTTTTTTGAGGAAGTTACCAAAAAGATTGATGGCAGTGCAGCAGACGTTTATTTGGATTTTAGTAAAGCCTTTGACAAGGTTCTGCATGGTAGACTAATTAATAAAGTTAGGTCACGTAGGATTCTGGGTGAGCTTGCCAATTGGATACATAATTGGCTTAACAGCAGGAGACCGAGAGTGGTGCTGAAGGGTTGCTTTTAGGACTAGAGGCCTGTGACGAGTGGTGTTCCACAGAGATTGGTTCTGGGTCCTGTTTTGTTTATCATGTATATAAATTATTTGGATGAGGATATAGAAGGCATTGTTAGTAAATTTGCGGATGACACCAAAATTGGTGCCGTAGTGGACAGCGAAGGTTTTCTAAGATTACAAAGGGATCTTGATCAAATGGGTCAATGGGCTGAAAATGGCAGACAGAGTTCAGTCTGGATAAATGCGAGGCTTCTCTTTTTGGTACAACATACAAGGCTGATGCAATTAATGGGAGGGACTTGGATAGTGTCGTAGAACAGAGGGACCTAAGGGTGCAGGTACATAATTCTTTGAAGTTTGCATCACACGTAGACAGGGTGGTTAAAAAGATGTTTGGCGCGCTTGCTTTCATTGCTCAGTCCTTTGAGTGTAGGAGTTGGGAAGTCATGTTGAGGTTGCACAGGACATTGGTAAGGCCTCTTCTAGAATAGTGTCCAGTTCTGGTTGCCCCGTTATAGGAAGGATATTATTAAGCTGGAGAGGGTTCAGAAGAGATTTACCAAGATGTTTCTGGGTATGGAACGTTTGAATTATAAAGAAAGACTGGATAGGCTAGGACATTTTTCACTGGAGAGTAGGAGGTTGAGAGTTAACCTTAAGAACATAAGAACATAACATAAGAACTAGGAACTAAGAACTAGAACCTTATAGAAGTTTATAAAAAAAAAAAAAAAAAGAGGGGTATAGATAGAGTTAATGGTAATTGTCTTTTCCCTCGGATGGTGGATTTCAAGACAAGGGGGCACATTTTTAAGTTAAGAGGAGAGAGATTAAAAAAGACGAGGGGCAAATCTTTTACACAGATGGTGGTTTGTGTATGGAATGAACTTCCTGAGGAAGTGGTGGATGTGGGTACAATTAAAACACTTAAAAGACATTTGGATAAGTACATGAAAAGGTAGTGTTTGGAGGGATATGGGCCAGGAGCAGGTAGATGGGACTAGTTTAGTTTGGGATTATGTTCAGCATGAACTGGTTGGACCGAAGCGTCTGTTTCCATGCTATATGACTCTATCTGACCTATCACTAACTTTTGCTGCTTTTTATGATTCAGTGCTCTTCTTGTGTTCATTAACCACTTATGGCTTATCATTCTCAGCAAGTCCATCTTTTTGACCGGAATACATTGTTGCTGAGTGTTATGAAATATCTGCTTAAACCTCTGCTCCTGCTCAACCATTGACCTTCTCCCTGGTTTAGCTTCACAGCCTGCTTAAGATAACTTCCTTCATTACCTCTGTAATTGCCCTTATTTAACTTGAGGACGCTGGTTTTAGACACGAAATGCTTGTCCTTGAAAAACTTGAAATTCTAGCATGTTGTGATCGCTATACCCCTTGAGCACACTTGACGATGAGGTCTCTTATTAATCCAACCTCATTACATATTACTGATCTAAAATAGTGTGTTCCTGGACAACTTCTGCAACATGTTGCCTTAAGAAACTGTCCCTGATGCACTGTACAAATTTGTCTTGCATGTTGCCCTTGCTCATCTGTGCTGTCCAGTCAATATTCTTCCAATACCCTTGAATATTGAGTTCCCTGTTTTGGTCGCCCTCCAACTGCATCACTGTAATAGCCATCAAGTCATATTAATTTATTTCTATTTGTGCCATCAACTCATTTATCTTACATATGCTGTGTCCATTTTAATAAAGAGCCTTAAGCTTTGACCTTTTACCATTATAACTCTCTGGTTCTAATTTCTGCTCCACTGTTCTGCTTTATTTCTGCTCTTTCCTACTCTACTCTGCACCTCTGCTTTCTTGTTTCTTTTTGATTTCTTAAACTTCCCTTCAGTTGAATCCCAAGTGTCTCACTGTCCGTATGCTCAAAAACAATACCTCTTAAGAGTGCAACACTTTGTTAGATTGTTGGTCTCTTTGTGCTCAAGTTCTAGAGTGGCTTGAGCACAGAACCTTGCAACTCAGAGGTAAGATGCTCCCCACTGAGCCCACGCTGATACTATGATAACTTTTATCTAATAGCTTGATACTTCTGTCCAGTTGAAATGCTTGATTTATACATTTAGGTCGCAACGACAGTTTTCACACCATTGGAGTATGGCTGCGTAGGCCTGTCTGAGGAAGAGGCAGTACAACGACATGGTGAAGACAATATAGAGGTAGGAAGCATAGAAGCCTATTTTTCTGTCTCGTAAGGCTCTCTTATTTGATTGCCCTGTTTGAGTTTTGCAGGTCTGGAAATTTGGGCACATTTTTTCCTGCCAGAGGACAAGATCACTACATAAATGGAACTTGAGATTTGTAAATTAGTGAGAATGTGTGTTTTTACTTTTTTTTAAATTTTTCTATTCATTTTTGGGATGTGGGCATCGTTGGCTGGCTATCATTTCTTGCCCATCCCTAGTTGCCCTTGAGAAGATGGTGGTGAGCTGCCGCCTTGAACCGCTGCAGTCCACCTGCTGTGGGTTGACCCACAATGCCATTAGGGAGGAAATTCCAGGATTTTGACCCAACGACACTGAAGGAACAGCACTATATTTCCAAGTCAGGATGGTGAGTGACTTGGAGGTGGTGGTGTTCCCGTATGTCTTCTGCCCTTGCCCTTCTAGGTAGAAGTGGCTGTGGGTTTGGAAGGTGCTGTATGTGGATCTTTGGTGAATTTCTGCAGTGCATCTTGTAGGTAGTACACATTGCTGCTACTGAACGTCGGTGGTGGAGGAAGTGAATGCTTGTGGAGTGCCAATTCAGCTGGCTGCTTTGTCCTGAATGGTATCAAGCTTCTTGAGGGTTGTTGGGGCTGCACTCATCCAGGCAAGTGGGGAGTAGTCCACCACCCTCCTGACTTGTGCCTTGTAGATGGTGGACAGGCTTTGGGGAAACAGGAGGTGAGTTACTCCCTGCAGTATTCCCAGCTTCTGATGAGCTCTTGTAGCCACTGTGTTTGTTTATGTGGTGAGTCCAGTTGAGTTTCTGGTCAATGATAGCCCCCTGGTTGTTGATAGTAGGTGATTTAGTGATGGTAACACCATTAAATGTCAAGGAGTGGTGGTTAAATTGTCTCTTATTGGCGATGGCCATAGCCTGGCATTTGTGTGGCGCAAATGTCACTTACCACTTGTCAGCCCAAGCCTGGATATTGTCCAGATCTTGTTGCATGTGAACATGGACTGCTTCAGTATCTGAGAAGTCACGAGTGGTGCTGAACATTGTGCAATCATCGGTGAACATCCCCACTTCTGACATTATGATGGAGGGAGGATCATGGATAAAGCAGCTGAAGATGGTTGGGTCGAGGACACCATCCTGAGGAACTCCTGCAGAGATGTCTTGGAGCTGATATGATTGACCTCCCACAACCACAGCTATCTTCCTATGTGTCACGTATGACTCCAACCACTGGAGAGTTTGCCCCCGATACCCATTGATTCCAGTTTGCCAGGGCTCCTTGATGCCACACTCGGTTGAATGCAGCCTTGACGTCAAGGGCTGTAACTCTCCCCTCACCTCTGGAATTCAGCTCTTTTGTCCACGTTTGAACCAAGGCTGTAATGAGGTCAGGAGTTGAGTGGCCCTGGCGGAACCCAAACTGGGCATCACTGAGCAGGTTATTGCTGAGCAGATGTTGCTTGATAGCACTGTTGATGACACCTTCCATCACTTTACTGATGATTGAGAATAGACTGATGGGGTGGTAATTGCCCGGGTTGGATTTGTCCTTATTTTTATGTACAGAACATACTTGGGCATTTTTCCACATTGTCAGGCACGTACCAGTGTTGTAACTGTACTGGAACAGCTTGGCTAGGGGAGCGGCAAGTTCTGGAGCACAAGTCTTCAGTACTATTGCCAGAATGTTGTTAGGGCCCTTAGCCTTTGCAGTATCCAGTGTCTCCAACCACTTCTTGATATCACGTGGAGTGAATTAAATTGGCTGAAGACTGGTACATACACTGCTTGGCATGCAAGTAGTCCTGTTTGGCTTGACCAGGTTGATGCATCATCTTCAGGTATGTCTGGTGCTGCTCCTGGCATGCCCTCCTGCACTCTCCATTGAACCAGGATTGATTCTCTGGCTTGATGGTAATGGGTTGACTGGGGGATATGCTGGGCAATGAGGTTACAGATTGTGTTGGAGTACAATTCTGCTGCTGTTGATGGCCCACAGCGTCCCATAGATGCCCAGTCTTGAGTTGCTAGATCTGTGCAAAGTCTGTCCCATTTAGCACAGTGATAGTGCCACACAACACGATGGAGGTTGTTCTCAATGTGAAGGTTGGACTTCATCTCCACAAGAACTGTGTGATGGCCACTGTTACCTATACTGTCATGGATAAATGCAACTGTAGCTGGCAGATTGGTGAGGATGAGGTCAAGTATGTTTTTCCCTCTTGTTGGTTCCCTCATCACCTGCCGCAGACCCAGTCTTGCAGCTATATCCTTTAGGATCCGAGCAGTTCGATCAGTAGTGCCATTGCCCAGCCATTCTTGGTGGTGAACATTGAAATCCCCCACCCAGAGTACATTTTGTGCCCACACCATACTCGGTGCTTCTTCCAAGTGTTGTTCAACACGGAGGAGTACCAATTCATCAGCTGAGGGAGGATGGTATGTGGTAATCAGCAGGAGGTTTCCTTGCCCATGTCTAACCTGAAGCCATGAGACTTCATGGGGTCCGGAGTCAATGTTGAGGACTCCCAGGGCAATTTCCCCCTGACTGTGTACGACTGTGCTGCCACCTCTGCTGGGATCGGACATATCCAGGGATGGTGGTGGTGGTATCTGGGACATTGTCTGTA